CCATGTCCCTCTTGTGTTGTTGCCGCAAAGCTGCATGCAAAACTCCCCGTGGCAGCACATCCCTGCTTGCCCTGGAGATGGAGACCCTGGGGGCTGTGGGACGGTGACACAAAAGCCACCATAGGATGACACCAGGTGCCATGGGAGGCAGCAGAAGGGTCAGGGGTGATGCTGGAGCCCAGGTTAACGGACAAACACTTTCTCTGGCCCCAGCACCTCCCCACCACCCCTCACAAGCCGAGCTGACAGGTCTTTCTGTCCTTTCCTGTCTCCCAGGTGTCAGCTTGTCACTGGAGGCAACAGCCAGCTGGGCAGCATGCCCCGGGCATCACTACTGCCCCGCCTGCCATGGGGCCGGCCTGGTGTGAAGGTGGTGGCCATCACCGGGGTGCTTGCAACCACCCTCTGGAACCTGAGGTGCTTCCTCAACTCTCCCCAGGTCTCCAGAGACACCTCTCAGCACACTGAGCCGCTGATGGTCCTGGTTTGGGAATGGCCCTCAAAGCAGGTCCCCAATGTCAGTGGGGACATCTGCCATGAGCTGTATGGCATCACGGGCTGCTGGGTCACCATGGAGCACCAGCTCCTGCACTGGGCAGATGTCGTGGTATTCCCCCACACCAGGCTCCAGCCTGGCAGGGACAGCCTGCCCAAGGACAGGCCACCGTGGCAGAGCTGGGTATGGGTGTCCCTGGAGTCCCCCTCCAACACTAAAGCTCTAGCAGGATGGAATCAGACCTTCAACTGGGTGATGACCTACAGACGGGACTCGGACATCTTCATCCCCTATGGCAAACTTGTGCCCAACCGGTCAGCCACTATGAACATCCCTGCAAAGACCAATTTGGTGTCTTGGGTCATCAGCAACTACCACAGGACTCAGAAAAGAGCTGAAGTCTACAAGAACCTCTCCCGGTACCTCCATGTGAACATATATGGGAAAGCAAACAAAAAGCCACTTTGCAAGGACTGCCTCTTGCCAACAATATCCAAGTCCAAGTTCTACCTTGCCTTCGAGAACTCCATCCACCAAGACTACATCACTGAGAAGCTCTGGAGGAACGCGCTGATGGCCGGCACCGTGCCCGTGGTGCTGGGGCCTCCTCGGAGCAACTATGAGCAGTTCATCCCTGCAGACTCCTTCATCCACGTGGACGACTTCAGCTCCCTGGCAGAGCTGGCCACCTTCCTGAAGACTATGAACTCCAGCCGCTATCAGCAGTTCTTCACCTGGCAGAGGTGGTACAGTGTGAAGCTCTACACTGACTGGAGGGAGCGGATCTGCACTATCTGCAGCACCTACCCCAGCCTGCCCCACGGCCGTGTCTATCCCGACCTCAAGAGCTGGTTCAACACCTAGAGCTGGTGCGCTGGGATCATCGGGGCAGAGGATACAGGGGTGGGATACACAGGATACACAGGGCACAGTCCTAGACCAGGACATGGGGCAGGGATGGACATGGGAGTCTCCAACTCTCCTCCCTGCCCCGTTGTTGCCACACTGGGACCTTGAGCAACTACTTGTGACTTGGTTTCCAGCAAAATGGAACGACCCCCCCACCTGACCCAACACTGACCCACCTTGCCAGGGTGCAGGCAGGATGAAATGGTGCTTTGGAAATAAATGACAGTGCTACAAAGGCTCTACCTGTGCTGTGGGGCCAGGAAAGGGGCTACAGGGGTGTGGAGCTCCCCAGTCTTTCCCTGCCATTGCTCCATGCCCTCCCCAGTGAAGCTGCAGTGGCAGAGGCCCTGCGGTGACATTCCTGGTTGGGCTGGAGGAGCTGAGTTCAGGGCAGCCAGGGGGAACCCAGCACCCCACTGCTGGAGATAGAAAGCACAGCCTCTGATCCCCCACTTCCTGGCCCACCCCAGCACCCATTTCCCCCCACAATCCCCGCTGCCAAGCTGTGCGTGTCACTGTGCTGGTGAGGACCAGGAGGACACCGGATGCTCTTGGGTGCAATCTCAGCCTGCTCAGTGCAGTCAGAGGGATGCTGTTGTTTCTCACTTGCCTGCCCTGCTGCGACAGGAAGCCAGTGGCACAGTGGAGGCTGGAGCCTTGCAGCAAGCCCAGAGCAAAGCCAGGCCCCTGGACACCCTGTGGCACCGGCAGCCTGATCCATGTGCCCTGGGCACTGCCACGGAAGGTCCTGCTCACCCTGTACTGCACACACCAGGCACCACGCTACCAGCATGGTGCAGTGCTGGACCCTATGCATATATTGTGGGCACCCTGCCCCATTCACACACCTTGCACCTTGGGCACAGGCAATGTCCAGGCACCCCGAGGGAACACCTGCATCTGGGATGAGCGGCAGTGCCGAGGCTGGGCAACAGGACCAGGCAGTGGGACACAACAGCTCCATCCATGCCTTGCTCTGTGCCCCTCGGCTTGGTGCAATCAACCCCCTTGATACAAACAACTCCTTTTTCACAGGTTCCCCCACACTTTCACTCACTGCAGCCCTGTGTCACCCAGCCATAGGGCTGCAACTCCTCAAGGTGCTGGGCATCACCAGGACCCGCTCCCCATGCCCACAGTGCAGCAGCATCCCCTTAGCAGATGCTGTCCCTGTCCATAGCTGGCACATCCATGTCCCCAGCCTGGCCTCACCGGGTTGCAGTTCAGTGGCCATGCTGTGCTCTTGCAGTTTGTGTGGCTTCAAATTTCAGTTTGGTTTTGTCTTCTGGGCAAGTTGAAAATGCAGCAGGAAGGGTTCAGAGTGGCCCGGGGCAGGATGCTGAGCAGTGGGATTTGGGGGTCCCATGGTGGGGAGCAGGGCTTCTGCCTGGCCAGCCTTATGATAGAGGGGAAAATCAGATGGTGGAGATGTGAAGAAAAACTCAGGGAGGTGACATCCTTCCCAGGAGTCCTGCTACTGACCCTGCTGCAGTGCCAGCCTCCAGCACCCCCCAGAGCACCAGCACCAAAGGGCAGCAGTGGCCTGTGCCCCTGCCCCATGTGACCCTGGGCACCCTGGCACTGGGGAGCCAGTGGGGACACAGGGTGAGCCAAGGGGCTCCCACCACACAGGGCTAGCACCCAGCCTGGTGTGTGCACCTCAGCCCTTCAGAGGGTCCCCATGGTGCTGCCTGCAGCAGCCCTGCTCCTGCCTGGCCTATGGCAGTGAGGTCTGGGGCAGACCCAGAGCAACTGCACCATTTACTGGTTGCCGAACCCAGAAGGGGATTTTCAGAAGTTTCATAGAATCAATCAGGTTGGAAAAGACCTTTGGTACCATAAAGTCCAACTGTTCCCCAGCACTGCCAAGGCCACCACTAACCCATGTCACCAAGGGCCTCACCTACATGGTTTGTGAACACTTCCAGGGATAGCAACTCCCTGGGCAGCTTGCTCCAAAGCCAATTTCTTTACAGGAGCACAGCCTGGTGCCTAACCAGACTACCGAGGCCACAGCAATGCAAAGCAAGGTGTTATTTCCTAGATGATTGATTCTCCTGAACGGTCTGGCACCCCCAATCTCAAACAACTCAGCCCCTGATGCCCACATTGATCTGCCTGGGCTAGCACCACTTGGCACAGCCACCATGGCCGGATCACGCACAGGAGACTCCCTTGTCCACCAGTGTCACACTGGCAGTCCCATGGCAAGGGCAGCCCAGGCTTCCTGTACCTGTCTGCCCACTCCAGAGCATGGAGTGCTGCAGCTCCCACCATATCCCTGTGAGGTCCACAGTGTCTGCAGGAGGAGCCTGCAATCGGGATACTGCTGCATTCCCACCCTTCCCAAAAGCAGCTATGGAAAATCAGCCCCTCATACTGGGTGAAGGAGAACCAGGAAAGGGGCACAGACCCCAGCAAGCTGCCCCTGTCCCAGTAGTGGGCTGGCCTGCAGGCAGCCAAGATCTGCGTGTTGCTGGTGTGAGAACTCCTCCACCCTATTTGGGTGCTCTGGTCCAGCCCCACCGTGCTGCCCCAGAGCCAAACCAGGCTGGGCTGCTGGCAGTGTGCAGGAGCAAGGATGAAGTGAGGCAAGGAAAGGGTTAACTTGCTCTCAGGCCCCAAAGAACCAATATTTATTTCATTGTCAGAGGGAATATGATTAAGAAAAAATAAAGATCGTCATTAACTACAGCAGGCTCAAAGGCACAGGGGTACTCGCAGCACAGACAGGACAGCATCAGCCCCCTGGGAAAGATGATCCTTGGGGCAGCTGGGCTGGGGCAGAGGGACCACACTGGAGAGGGCACAGGGGACCTGGGGTGATGTTGGGCACCCCCAAAGAAAGCCGCAGCAGCCCACCCATGGATGGGTAAAGCTCTGTGGTGCCACCAGGTAAGGGTGGCAAAGCCCCTTGCACAGCGCTCCAGCCCCACTCTGTGTGACAGCTGGGAAACTAGGAATCGCTACAGAGAGTTTTGCTTTTTAAGAACTACAACCAAAAAAAATTTAAAAAACAAATGAACAAACAATCAAAAAAATAAAAAAACAAACAAAAAACAACAAAAAAAACCCTACCAAAAAAAACCCCCCACCCTCTCCTCCCTCCCCCCCCATCCCCAAAATCATCTAAATCTCACTTTTTTCTGGGTCTCACAGGAGCAGCTCGGCTGGGCACAAATGGCTCC